TCATTTTTTGTAAAGTTATGAAGGTTTAAAGATTGCCATTTTGGCCATTTTGACCAATTTGGGACAATTAATGCGCGATATAATTCGCGCTATTAACGCGTAAGCGGAGATTTAATCCGTCTAATAAATCGTTCCAAATTTGTTGAACGAAGTTTATTTGGCATAAATTATTTGTTACAAGGAACGAAATCTATCTTTTTGTATTTTATATGGCGTGTGGGGAAATTATTTTCATAAAAAATTTCAAAAAAAAATTTCGCTTTATTTAATTTCATTTAATTTTTTTAAATGTTTTTACTGCTGCTCCATAAACCTTAAAAGGAAGTCGGAACGTTCAGGGCTTCGCCCTGATACGAGCAGTATTGTTGTTCCGACTTTCGATACGAAAGTAACGGAACATTTGTGCTCGGGGTGGGTTTTCTTTTTCTTCAGACAAATTTCGACTTTTTCACTAGCCATTTTTTACGGATTTTTTTATCAATCAACAGGTATTGTTATCCTGAGCATAAATTTGAAAAGATATTTCACCTGTGATCCTTTTTCGTAAAGTTATGAAGGTTTAAAGATTGCCATTTTGGCCATTTTGACCAATTTGGGACAATTAATGCGCGATATAATTCGCGCTATTAACGCGTAAGCGGAGATTTAATCCGTCTAATAAATCGTTCCAAATTTGTTGAACGAAGTTTATTTGGCATAAATTATTTGTTACAAGGAACGAAATCTATCTTTTTGTATTTTATATGGCGTGTGGGGAAATTATTTTCATAAAAAATTTCAAAAAAAAATTTCGCTTTATTTAATTTCATTTAATTTTTTTAAATGTTTTTACTGCTGCTCCATAAACCTTAAAAGGAAGTCGGAACGTTCAGGGCTTCGCCCTGATACGAGCAGTATTGTTGTTCCGACTTTCGATACGAAAGTAACGGAACATTTGTGCTCGGGGTGGGTTTTCTTTTTCTTCAGACAAATTTCGACTTTTTCACTAGCCATTTTTTACGGATTTTTTTATCAATCAACAGGTATTGTTATCCTGAGCATAAATTTGAAAAGATATTTCACCTGTGATCCTTTTTCGTAAAGTTATGAGGGTTTAAATATTGCCATTTTGGCCAGTTTAACCAATTTGGGACAATTAACGCGCGATATAATTCGCGCTATTAACGCGTAAGCGGAGATTTAATCCGTCTTGTAAATCGTTGCAAATAGGTTGAACCAAGCTTATTGCCATAATTGATTTGTTATAAGGAACGAAATCTCTCTTTTTGTACTTTATATGGCGTGTGGGGGGATGATTTTCATAAAAATTTTCAAATTTTTGATAAAAAAAATTCATTTTATTTTATTACTTTTAATTTTTTGATTATATTACTGCTCCAAATTGTTAATGGGCAGTCGGAACATTCAGGGCTTCGCCCTGATACGAGCAGTCTTGTTGTTCCGACTTTCGATACGAAAGTAATGGAGTATTTGTGCTCGGGGTGGGTTTTTTTTTCTTCAGACAAATTTCGACTTTTTAACTAGCCTTTTTTTTTACGGAATTTTTTGTTATCACTCAACAGGTATTTTTATCCTGAGCCTAAATTTGAAAATATATTTCTCCTGTGATCCTTTTTCGTAAAGTTATGAGGGTTTAAAGATTGCCATTTTGGCCAGTTTAAACAATTTGGGACAATTAACGCGGAATATAATTCGCGCTATTAACGCGTAAGCGGAGATTTAATCCGTCTAATAAATCGTTCCAAATTGGTTGAACGAAGCTTATTTGGCATAAATGATTTGTTACAAGGAACGAAATCTATCTTTTTGTATTTTATATGGCGTGTGGGGGGATGATTTTCATAAAAAGTTTCAAAAAAAAATTTCGCTTTATTTTATTTCATTTAATTTTTTAAATGTTTTTACTGCTGCTCCATAAACCTTAAAAGAAAATCGGAACATTCAGGGCTTCGCACTGATACGAGCAGTATTGTTGTTCCGACTTTTGATACGAAATTAACGGAACATTTGTGCTCGGGGTGGGTTTTTTTTTCTTCAGACAAATTTCGACTTTTTAACACGCCATTTTTTACGGAATTTTTTTTATCACTCAACAGGTATTGTTATCCTGAGCCTAAATTTGAAAAGATAATTCACCTGTGATTCTTTTTCGTAAAGTTAAGAGGGTTTAAGGATTGCTATTTTGGCCAGTTTAACCAATTTGGGACAATTAACGCGCGATATAATTCGCGCTATTAACGCGTAAGCGGAGATTTAATCCGTCTTGTAAATCGTTCCAAATTGGTTGAATCAAGCTTATTGCCATAATTAATTTGTTACAAGGAACGAAATCTCGCTTTTTGTACTTTATATGGCGTGTGGGCGGATGATTTTCATAAAAATTTTCAAATTTTAGAAAAAAAAACATTTCACTTTATTTTATTTCATTTATTTTTTTTTATAATTTTACTGCTGCTCCATAAAACTTAAAAGGCAGTCGGAACATTCAGGGCTTCGCCCTGATACGAGCAGTCTTGTTAGAATTTATAATCTCCGCAATTTTGGTAATCAACTGAGTAAGTATTTAACATTTGTGAGACAGAATTTTTTTATTGCTTTTGTTTTGATCGTTGATTTGCTTACACACACAAAGAACGCGATTGATGTCAATAATAGCTTCACTCTGTTGTTTTTTTTACCTTCGGTATTGATTATATATCTGTCAATCTTTGTCATGAATTGACGGTCAGTCGATCGTTCACTGTTCGTGTTAGTTTTAGAACAGAAGTTTTATTTCAACACATTTTTCAATTGTTTTATTCTTTTAGATTGAATGACCGATCAATTAGCAGACCAATTTTTCATCATAAAAAATAAAAAGTTATTCTTTTAGCAGCCCAACGTAGTGAACTGATGCATGATTGATTGACAGATTAAAAAAACCTCAGCCTTGGGTCAAACTTCCCCAAATGAGATAAATATTCCACGATTTGTCAACAAAACTATTAACTTAAAAAACACAATAATCTAAATTTGTAGCAAAGCTAAATAAAGAATTACGCTCTTTGCTGCAAATAAAGAATTACGCAATAACACTGTCGTGGCGAATGGAGGCGCAGCGGAGCAAGCGGTCGCTAATTTTTTTGAGTCTGCTAAAAAAATTGGTTTGTTAAAATCCCTAGCACCTTTAAATTATTAGTGCATATTTTTACAGTAGTAGATAAAACATTTTAATATTTAATCACAGCCGAACCGATTTGCGAGCCGTAATTTTCCCCTCCAAGCAAACTTTGACTCTTGAAATACCAGCTTTGGAAAAAGCTCTTCAAATTAATTTGAAGATATCATTTTTCTGAGCTCAAAAATGGTCCTTTCAAGGATGATTAACTTTATGTTGTGTGGAAAACTGCCAATTCTAGTCGAGTAAATTATCCGCGCTCTATGTCTCTCTACCTATGTTGTCGCATATCTACTCTAGCAATATTTTTGAATATACAAAACAGATTTCTTCGAAACAGTCCAATGAATCGGCAAACCTGACAAAAAACCGTTGGACTTGAAAAAAGACAACATTTACTGAGTGCAGTGGCGGATCTAAGATTTCCTCGAGAAAGGGGGAAACGGATTTTCAAAAACTTTTCAAAGTTTTTCTCAACTTTTTTTTGAGGTCGACCAATTTGATTTTTCGAGCTCTCCAAAAGTACTAAAAAAACCCTGCTTTGACCAAAGGCGCCTTCAGAAAATTTTTAGGGTCCGCCGCCAGAAATGGAATGTCAAGAAAGTACAAAGGGGGGACCCGTTGGGCCGGCAGGGTGCCAGAATCCCTGAGGGGGGAGGGGGGAGGGGGAGGGGGCGGCCGCTTCTTCCCTTAATCCGCCCCTGATTGAAGGAGTTCGTTTTGTTTTGACAAAAAATCAAATTCACACGACTGGCAAGTAGCGACCGTTTGCTCTCCTGTGCTTATTTTCGGTTCTTTGCGTATGAATTAGTGTTTTCTTGTCAATATAGATGGTGCTGTTTTTGATTTGTATTGGGTTATTGGCTTCGGAAAACAATGATCACTTCTGGATATTTCCCAGACTCTTCATATCAAGTTTTTTTCTTCCATTTTCTAGGTTTATGTTGACTATTTTGCACAAAATTGTTTTTTTTAAAGGCATGAAAATCTTTTTCTGATTTGAAATTATGTAAGCAGAAGTATTTTTTTTCCCAAATAAAGAGATCAAACCTTCTGTATTTCAACTGGACTTTTTTTGGTTCAAAGAAAACATTAAACAGCTCTTTAACGGAAATGAAATGCAATAAAATTATATAAAAAATTATAATAATATATTTTTTTGAAAATCTTTTTCAATAGCTTCCTCTGTCCCCCTTCAATGTCAAAATCAAAAAGATGCCTTAAAAGTCTATAAAATCAAAATTTCGGTAAAAAAGCACTCATTTCAATTTTTTGAGCTGGATTGAATCAGCCTTATGCGTCAGTAGCACGAGTTATATCGCGGATTAATTGTCTCATAAACTGACCGAACTGGCAATTTCCAGCCTCTAATTTACAAAAAAAGCTGATCAGATTTTTGAAATTTTTTAAAAATTTAAGCTCAAATTATTAGCACTTCTCAATAGGGATCAAAATATTTGTTAAATTTTTTTTTTAATTGTCGCAGTTTATTTGAAGAAAAAACGACGCCGATTGCAAGTGATCTGTCTTTTTTTTCCGAAATTTGAGACAACTATACTTTTTTTGTAGCAGTGCAAAATTTGGAACAAAAATATTCTGAATTTCGCTTTCTGCACTTGCCCCTTTTTTAAAAAAAAAAACTATATAACTTTCGGTTACTACTTCTTTACAACTTACAAAAAACAAACCCGAAAAAAAATTTTGTTTTTATATGAAACTATTTCCAAACCAATGTATGTCCAAGGTTTTCATTTTGGCTCGAGCGACTTTTGGCTCGAATATTGTCCAGATTTTCGACCGATTTTTTTGCAGGTATTAGACACGAAACCTGGTCATCATTTACCTTCACCCGCGCATTTTGCTTGTCTGGGGGATTTGGCGCTGGGCTGGTGGACAAAAGGTTGAATGTGTTGTCCAGTGGCCAGCATGAGCTCCTCTCTCTTTCTGGCGCTTCTCCGGATGGCGATGGCTATGGCCACATAACAGCCCACTATTGTCACTCCTGGCACAATGTAGTGCACTGTGTAAAGCGACAGCAGCATCGCTAAAAAATAACCAAGCAAAATATCAACAAAATCAAACAAGTCTGCGCGTTTTCCAGGGCAGTGCCTTCATTTATGTTTATAAATTATGAAGTAATAAATGTTTTCAGGCTAATAATGATTGTTGAAACAAGTAATGGTTGATTTACACAACCATTAAGGGTTAGCCTGGGAGATGTTCATGAAACCTTCTGGTGCGTTTTCAGACTTCTGACTGCCCTTTTACTGGTACCAAATAGTTCTTATGAAGAAAAATCAGCTAAATTATGAATTTTGCACTGCCGATATCAAAAATTAAATATTAAGTTTGAATCAAGTTGCGTCGAATCAAAGTAATTTGGAACTATTTTGAGTGCGGGAATCATGAGTAATTCCATTCGCATTTTCAGTTTCATTGAAAAAACCTTCAAAACGCGAGTAAATTAGTCCGGAACATGGCCCTGAAATTTACCATAAATGGTCGCAGTTAAAGATATTTCTCTACATTTGAACTCTGAGAGTTGATGTTTTCATTGAGTTGATATTGGATTATTTTTTTGTTAAAATCTATAATTTCGATCAATAAAATTGAACTGAACAAGAAACTATTCCAAGTGTAAATATTCCGTCATTGTTCCGGCTTTCGAAGAAAGTGACGGAATATTTGAGCTCGGGGCGGTTTTTTCTAAGACTAGCCATTTTTGACGGAAATTAGCCCAAAAATAAGTCACATTAAAAAATAAGCTTCATCTCTGGTCAATTTTGTAAAACTATGGGGATCTGAAAAATCCAATGTGGCCAGTTTGTAATATTAACGCGCGATATATTTTGTGCTATTAACGCATAAGCGGATATTTAATCCGTCTTAGAAAACGTTCCAACATGAATTGAGGCATACTAGGTGATCCATTTTATACATAGCTATATGGTATATGTATTACTTAGTATTTTAAATAGCACGTGCGGGGATAATTCTCGAAAAAAATCTAAAAAAAAAGTTTTTTTTAAATTTTTTTTCTCATCAGTTTTTCTAAAGCGTACTCCATAGACTTTAAACGGCAGCCGGAACTTTCAGGGCATCGTTTTTTTTTCAGCTTTAAAATGCTAATTCAAAACAACACTGCTCGTATCAGTGAATGTTCCGACTGCCTTCTAAAGTCTATGGAAAAAAAATTAAATGTAAAAAAAACATAAAAATGCCATATTGTTCCCACACGCCATATAAACTTCGCTCCTAATTTCAAATCAATCATGGCATATAAACTTCCTTCAACTAGTTTGGAACGATTCCTACGACTGATTAAATCTCCGCTTACGCGTTAATGGCGAGAAAAACATCAAACGCGTTTTTCTCAAAATGGGTAGGATTCGACAAAAAGTGAAGTGACAAAAAATGTTTAGGTTTTCACTAAACTTTATGTAGTTCAATTTGTTTTTTTTTTATTTATACTTAATCAAAAAGTGCGCGGAAACTACCCTGTTAACTGATGAGAAAATTATATCAAAAAAAGCCTCATACACAGCCCAACAAAACTGTGTAAAGATAAATCTTTTAAAAGTCTGTAAAAAATATTTGTTTGATTGGTAGCAAAAAAAGCTTATTTTTAGTATAAAAAAACAAAACTTTGGCTAAAAACCTTTTTCAAACGTTTTACGCAAAATTTTGAAAACTTCACCCTCCAAAAATTTATTAGGCTGCGTAAGAAGCTTCTTTTGATATTAATTTTTTATCAAATAATTTGTAGTTGCAGCGTATTTTTTGATTAATTAAAAAAGCCAAAATGAATCTTTTTTGAAGTAAAAAATTTGTTAAGAGTATCGGGAAAAAAATGAATCATATTAAATCTGGTGAAATTTTTTTGCAACTTTCGTTTCCTTCATTTTTTCTAGTCATAGCTAACCTCTATTCTTGAGGTAAAGAAAAAAAATTGCAAAAATAAACTACAAGCTTTGGCCGTTACTTTGCCCGTGGAAAAAATTACGTAAGAATTTAACACCGTATTAAAAAATCATTGCTTTCACTATCTTAAAATTACTTAACAAAAAAATATTTTTTTTTTGCTCTAGATTTGTGTAAAAAGCAGAATTTTCAAACTTCTAATTTTGTCTCGAAAAATTCGCCGAAAAAAAACTAGATCATGATTTATCTTGACTTTGCTTAGAATAAGCACAAAACTTCTCTTTTTCTCACTTTTGTTGTGTGAACAAACTTTAACAAGACTGCTTGTATCAGGGCAAAGCCCTGAATGTTCCGACTGCCTTATAAGGTTTATGGAGCATTAATAACTTTCAAAAGTTAGATGTAATATAACAAAATGAAAAAACAAATTTTCTGAAATTTGAAATTTTTTATGAAAATCATCACCCCACACGCCATATAAAGTACAAAAAGATAGATTCCGCTCCTTGTAACAAATCAATTATGGCGAATAAGCTTCGTTCAACCAATTTGGAACGATTTATAAGACGGATTAAATCTCCGCTTACGCGTTAACAGCGCGAAATATATCGCGCGTAATTGTCTCAAATTGGCCAAAATGGCAATCTTTAAACCCGCATAACTCTACGAAAAATGATCACAGGTAAAATTTCTTTTCAAATTTAAGCTAAGGACAACAATGCCTTTTGAATGATATGATAAAATTCTGTCAAAAATGGCTAGTTAAAAAGTCGAAATTTGTCTGAAGAAAAAAAAACCCACCCCGATCACAAATATTCCATTACTTTCGTATCGAAAGTCGGAACAACAAGTAAGCGTCAATCTTTCAATTCCGTTTGTTTTTCCTGTTGTTAAGCTACCTAAGTTTTTCTCAGTGCTGAGAATCACTGGTTTGAAATTTTTTCATATACCAACTTAGAGTGTATCATCTTTCTTGATTAATTGCCTTAAAATTCTTGAATCATTGCATAAAAATTAATTAAAAGACATTGCCAAAACCTTTGCTGGTTTTCAATAGGCTTCTTTTTAGTCAGGGGCAGATCAAAGATTTTCTCGAAAAGGGGGGGGGGGGCAGATTTTCAAAAGTTTTGAAAATTTTGTCGACCTTTTTTTAGGTAGACCAAATTGATTTTCGGAGCTCTCCCGAATCACTATAAATAACCCATGTTGACCAAATTTTCTGCGCGGCAGACAATTTCTTGAAATGAAAAAAAAAAAACAAGCCAAAGTTTTTGCACGTTGGGGCGAGTTCGCTTCCCGCCCTGTCTGAGTCCACGTCTGATTTTAGTTTTTTTACCACCCACAAAATTAAAATGTTCAAGAATTTGAGAAAAATAGAAAAAGAAACTGACAAAATTTTATTTTTTATTCGTTTTGTTCTTGCAAAAAAGGTTGGAAATGTTTGGGCTGCACGCATAGATACCGACTAGTCTGACTTCTTATTCGTTTCTAAGAGGTGCATTACGCCTTGCAATTTATCTCAGTTAAAGTAACTTCCGTTTTTATTAAATCTGATTGAGAGTATCAGCGAAGATACAGTGAAGACACCCAATAAGCTCACAATTAACTCACTTCTTATCTGTTACACGTACATTTGAACGAAAAGGTCGCTGCTGTTGACAAATAATCAAATCACGGATTAAGTTTTAACATTTTCACAAATGTTATTTTATAGCATGGGCGGGTTTAAGGAGGATGGTTTTGACGCCCCTTTCTCAGGGATATTCGACCCAATCACTTCTCACGCAAGGCGTCCCCCTTTAGCTACTATTTTACGATATCCAATCTCGGCCGACTGACCATAAAAGTTTTTAAAGGGCGTTTCTGGTGCCAATATATATATTAACTTTGAGGACTAGCGCGCCCAAAAAAGCGATTTTTTGGTCAAACCCTACCAAAAAGCGGCCAAAAATTGTCTTATTAGCATGTTTTTGAAAAATTTTGCTTGCGGTGCAGAATTTTTTTGTCCAAATAGGGTCTTTATAGTGTTCTACGAGCGCTTGGAAAATCAATTGTAAGTGTTTTACCGTTTTTAATCACTTTTCTTTTTTTTAAACCACTAAGAAGTCAGAATAGGTCATTTAAAAATGTTCATCGCAATTTTGAAAAAGGTCATTGAAGCCCCTTATTTTGATTTCAAAAAGCATGCAAGTTTTTCAATTTTTGGAGATAAACTAAATAGGAAAAGATGCAGTGAATTTGTTTTATTCAAAAAATATGATAAACTCCTATTCGCTTTATCATTGGCGATTTGCGAGCGGTTTTGTTTGAAGAAAAAACGCCAAAAGTAGCCCCTGTCTTGCTTGAAAACCACTTAAGAACCATCTACCGAAGGCAGATTAGAACGGGTTTTTTGCAGCAAGCAGTTATTTTGAAGCCCAAGCCAAGCCGGCTTAATTTTTTCAGTACGAAGGCAGCTGCAATAATGTCGATCTCGAGTCGATTCGATTCTGAAACTAAACAAGACTGCTCGTATCAGGGCAAGCCCTGAATGTTCCGACTGCCTCTTAAGGTTTATGAAGTAATAGTAACATAAAAAAATTAAATGTAATAAAATAAAATGAAAAAAGAATTTTTCTTAAAATTGAATTTTTTTTATGAAATCATCCCCCACACGCCATATAAAGTACAAAAGATAGATTTCGTTCCTTGTAACAAATCAATTATGGCAAATAAGCTTCGTTCAACCAATTTGGAACGATTTCTAAGACGGATTAAATCTCCGCTTACGCGTTAATAGCGCTAATTATATCGCGCGTTAATTGTCCCAAATTGGCCAAAATGGCATTCTTTAAGCCCCCATAACTTTACGAAAAATGATCACAGGTGAAATATAATTTCAAGTTTGAGCTCAAGCCAACAATAGCTTTCGAATGATCAAAAAATTTCTTGAAAATTGGCTAGTTAAAAAGTCGAAATTTGTCTGAAGAAAAAAGAATCACCCCGAGCACAAGTATTCCGTTACTTTCGTTACGAAGTCGGAACAATAATCAATATAAATGATTAATCGTTATAAAAAAATTTTTGATGTGACAAAAAGTCATTTTTAAGACCATTTTTAATCAACTCTTAATGATTATGTTT